TTATTTGCTGCAGAATTGAGCGGAAGTATGGTATGTTTAGCCGATTAGATGCATGCTCCTTTGTTGCCAACGTGTACGATGAGGGAAACACACTAAGCATTGTAACAGATAGTCATTTTCATGGTACCCATGTTGCTGGAATAGCTACTGCCAACCACCCTGGGGTGCTGACGCAACACTATCTTAATTGATTTGTATCGATAATTTTTCGTGGTCAATTAACTCATCTTCTGTGTCTACCTTGTTAGGAGCACTTGTTGAATGGAGTGGCACCTGGTGCACAGATAATATCTTGCAAAATTGGAGACTCACGCTTAGATTCAATGGAGACTGGAACTGGCTTGACACGGGCATTGATAGCAGCTTTAGAGGTAATTATTTGTATATCTGAAAGTAGATAACCGAGGTGATTGATTAATAATGCTTGAAAGTTATTTTCTACCACTTTGATGCTGTTCAATGCCAGAACAGTCTGTGGTGGTGCTGCTTGTTTTTTCTATTTTTGGGCAGAAATGTGTTTTTTCTATCATGCATCTACTTTTGCATGCTGACGTTTTTGTTTTATCCTTGTACAGCATAAATGTGATCTTATCAACATGAGTTATGCAGAGCCATCCCTGCTTCCGGACTACGGACGCTTTATTGATCTTGTTACTGAAGTATCATCTCAGAACCCTCGTATTTGTTTGTCAACTCTTAACATCGCATGTGCTTTATGTCGTATTCATATTGCATGATTTGGAATTCTGTATTAGGCTGTGAACAAGCAACGCCTTGTATTTGTAAGTTGTGCTGGCAACAATGGTCCAGCATTGACGACAGTTGCTGCACCCGGTGGAACAACTTCCAGTATCATCGGTGTTGGTGCCTATGTTTCTCCTGCAATGGCCGCTGGTGCCCATATGGTGGTGGAACCTCCCTGTGAGGGGCTAGTGGCCACTTGGTATTTTCCCCCTTTCTCCTTGCAGTTTGATCGTTTTCTTAGTTTTAGGGTTTAGCAAGCATTAAAATACATGTCAATTTGTGTTGTAGGTCCAGTCGGGGACCAACCTCTGATGGAGATCTTGGTGTCAGCATAAGTGCACCTGGCACAGCTGTTGCTCCTGTTCCTACATGGACACTTCAAAGACGAATGTGTGCGAGTGGAACATCAATGGCATCTCCTTCTGCTTGTGGAGCAATTGCATTACTTCTCAGTGCTTTAAAGGTTTCTGTTCCAACATTTTTTTTTGCCTAGATGTTTTGTCTGGCATGTTCTTTTTATCTCACCATTCTTTTCGGTGCACATTTTTCATTCAATTAAAAGTCTTATGATGCTTTTGCAGGCTCAAGGCATTCAAGTTAGTCCATACAGTGTGCGGAGGGCCATTGAGAATTCATCTGAATCTGTAGGTGATCTACCTGAAGACAAACTATCCATTGGACAGGGACTTATACAAGTTGACAAGTAAAATCCCATCCCATGGAGTTTTTCTTTTCCGTATCTTTTGAGGTTTTTGATTTCAACGGTATAGTTTCTATAATTAGTTTTGCTGTTTATCTCGTTACAGGGCATACGAATACTTGAAACAATTTCAGGAGTGTCCATCTGTTTTCTATCAGATCAAGGTCAATCTCTCTGGAAAATCATGTAAGTATACTCTATGCAATAGATACTAAATGGAAACTTTCATGTACCATCAAGAAAAAAAAAATGACTTTCTGCACCATTTTAAGATTTCTGAAGATCTCAATGCAGAAACATTTTATACTAAAGTTTGCTGAAATCTAGCTGTCGATGTTTCTCATTAGGCTGATAACAATGAAATTGGATGTTCCCGATTCCATCATAGTTTTGAGGGTTCTTTTTTAATAAACATATACTCTTGAAGATTGTTAACTTGTTATCTGCAGCCCCCACATCACGAGGGATCTACCTGCGGGAGGCTACTGATTGCAGACAATCTACTGAGGTGAGTTATTTCTATGTTACGGGAAACATTAGACCCTGAAGTATGCAGAGTCGTCTTTCCAAATGCACGCTAGGCTTACTAGTTTGCATCCTACTTAATATCATTTCTCTTTTTCATCACACTACTGTTCTTTTATTTCTAATGCTCAGAGTATCGAATTTCTAGATTTGTCTTGGATTCAAAATTCCTCTGCTCAGACTCGTTCTCCTCCCAGATAACTTGCACACAGCAGTTTTGTGCTGTGTTTACATTCTGAGACATGCATTGTTGTGACATTGTTAGTGGACGATAAAAGTTGAACCAAAATTCCACGAAGGCGCCAGTAATTTAAAGGACATTGTCCCATTTGAGGAATGTATCGAGTTGGCCTCTACAGATGAAGGAGTTGTAAGAGTTCCCAAGTATCTCCTGCTCACTCATAATGGGCGCAGCTTCGAGTTAGTGTTTTATATTTCTATTTCTATGTATTTTGTTATTCTCTGTTTATTAGTTTCTTTCTTTGTAGTCATGTTTGTTAATAATTTTTATGAACTATCTCTTTTCAGCGTGGTTGTTGATCCTACAAATCTCAGCAATGGTGTGCATTACTTTGAAGTGTATGGGGTTAATTGCAAAACGCCAGAGCGTGGCCCAGTTTTCCGAATCCCTGTCACCATAATAAAGCCCATTACGGTGACACATCAACCTCCAGTGATTTCATTCCCGCAAATGTCATTCATCGCAGGTTATCTTTTGTAGACTTATTGTGGTGTATGAAGACAAACATTATACGGGCTTGAAATGCAAGTCTTGCTTTTTGTTGATATTTCCTTCAATAATTGCACCTCTAGGCCACCTTGAACGAAGATACGTAGAGGTTCCACGTGGTGCGACATGGGTTGAGGCTTCAATAAGAACTTCTGGGTTTGATACCACTCGGCAATTTTTCATTGAAACGCTTCAGGTAAGGCATGTTTAAGGTTTAAAATAATTTTAAATGCTGCTGGTTCTAATCTCTGCTTAATTTGCAGCTATGTCCACTGCAAAGGCCTATCAAGTGGGTGAACCTTGAGACTTTCTCATCTCCATCTTCTAAAAGCTTTTCATTCCCTGTTGTCGGCGGTCAAACTATGGAATTAGCGGTAGCTCAATTGTGGTTTAGCGGCCTTGGAAGTCATGAACCGACTATTGTTGATTTTGAGGTAGGAACTGGGTATCTTAATCCATTTGAGTTCAAACCTTGTCTTTGACTACTGAGGATTGCATGCACTTGTATTTATTTATTTATCTATGCTTCGGCTGCATTGAATCATTCAGCGATCTTTACGTCTGTTTGTATAATTTCCTTTTTGTTATTATTTAGCTGTAGATGCTTTGAGTCCCTTTTAGTTGTTGTGTATGATGCTTGTTCTTTTTTTTTTTTGTTAAAGTATGATGCTTGTTCTTACTTCTGAAGGAGATTATCTTTGTTTCCTCCTTCCCCAATATTTCCTTTTCTAGACATTAGTTTTGTTGCAGCCTTTCTTTCCTCCTACTCATGTCCTATGGAACAATTACTGGGGGTCATTCCAGGATAAAATTTGTAAGCATTAGTTTTGATATTTTGGCATTATTGTGGTAAAGGGAGGATTTTATATTCAATTAGCATTTGGTCATTAGGTTGAGTATCTTGTGATCTTAGTACAAATGAGTTGAAGGGACTTGTGTGTGGTTATTGCAGATTGCATTCCATGGCATTGATGTTGACAAAGAAGAGCTGATACTCGATGGAAGTGAAGCACCGGTTAAAATTGAAGCTGAAGCACTTCTAGCTTCTGAAAAGCTTGTTCCCACAGCTGTTCTTAACAAGGCACAACTTGCCTCTTAAAGATTTTTTGCTTATATCTCACTTGCTTTATTTGTTCACAATTTTTCTTATGCATGGTGTTTTGTTCATACTGTAGATACGAGTTCCATATCGACCTGTTGATGCAAAACTCAAGACTCTATCAACCAGCCGTGACAGACTACCGTCCGGCAAACAGATATTAGCATTGACATTAACGTGGGTTATGCATCTGCTTTTTCTGCTTCAGTTTCTCGTCTATCTCTTTCTCAGTTGTTAGTGAACACCTCATCCTATTTTTTGTGCAGTTACAAGTTCAAACTGGAAGACGGAGCTGAAGTGAAACCGCATATACCCTTGTTGAATAATCGCATATATGACAACAAATTTGAATCCCAGTTTTATATGATCTCTGATGCGAACAAGGTACCCTTTCAACTGACAGCTAAAAAGGATGGATACTACTGGTCTATAGAGGCTTGTAAATTCTGTTTCACATTGTCGACTAAAAAGATGCCGTGTTTCACAAAACTAATGATTTCATTTTTTTTATTTTGCATTCTGTTTAGAATCACTTTTCTTTTCGTGTGTGGTCGGATTAATACCTTCTTTTGAATCTCACATGCTGCCCCTACTTACATCCAGCGTGTATATGCAACGGGTGATGTTTACCCGGAGGCTACAAAACTTCCCAAGGGAGAATATATTCTGCAGCTGTATCTGAGGTTTGTGCTACATCTCTGATAGAACCAGCCAATCTTTTGGATGCATGGACTTTCTTTCTATTTTGAGGTGTAGAGTCATGTCAAACTGACTCCAGGCAGTAACTATCTTCTGAATGAGATTGGTCAGAAAACTGCCCGGAAAGTTTTTTTTTTTTTTTTTGATAATCCGGAAGTTCATCGGACCTTTGCCCAACTACATCTCCCAGAGGATCGGGGAAGCCCATGTGAATGCCCCTCCCCACGCTTGGGTTTGAAGCCAGGGTGAGAGCATGCTTTGCATGTTCTCTCACCACTAGGTCACCCAATCTTGGGTAACTGCCCGGAAAGTTCTCTTGAGCTTTTGGATCGATATTGTCTTTGACTTCAGCTTTGGTTCGTCGTGATATTGGTTTTGATTTAATGGTCGTTGTGAAGCAGCCATTAAAAAACCAAAGTCAAGACAGAGTAGAAATCTGATCTTAGTCTTTCCATAGTGCAGTAAGCTGATGGTTCAACTTTGTGTATCTTACGGTCTCTTCTTATTCGACCTGTTTTCACCAGGCATGAAAATGTGCAGTTGCTGGAAAAGTTGAAGCAGCTTGTTTTGTTTATTGAAAGAAACTTGGCGGAAAAGGTAAAGTTGTGTATTATATTTTTCTTTATACTGAAAATGTGTGGAAAGAAGGCTTGACTCTTTCTCTCTTGGCGTTGCAGGAGGCCATTCGGCTGAACTTCTATTCTGAACCAGACGGTTGTGTCACGGGAAATGGTGCCTTCAAATCATCTGTTTTAATTCCTGGGTATTCTTTCTGTTTGCATATCCTCCTTAAATATTCTTATTGATATACGACACTCTGTTCCCTAAACATGCATCTCTTACTTTTATTTTATTGCAGGAAAAAGGAAGCGTTTTATGTGAGCCAACCCATGAAGGATAAGCTGCCCAAGGTTTTGAACATAGATTGATTGCTGACGTAATTGATTCTGTGGTATTTGTTTCTCTCTGACTGCCTATCGATTTACTGTTTAACTGTACCTGCAGAATGCACCTCAAGGATCTGTGTTGCTGGGAGATATCTCACACGGGAAATTATCATTTGTTGATAAAGAAGGGAAAAATCCGAAAGATAATCCCGTTTCTTATCAGATATCTTATGTCGTTCCACCAAACAAGGTTTCTAGTGAACCTATCTTTTCTTTCCTCATGTCTTTTCTGCCTGGTTTGCACGTGAAGGTAGGTCTTTTTTGACACTTTGTTTGATAGACAGAGGAAGAAAAAGGGAAATTTTCTGCTCCAACTAGCGCTAAATCTGTATTGGAGCGCATGGAGGAAGAGGTAGGGGCAAAATTTTGGTTCCATGCCTTTCTTCGATTCTGGATATACTTTTAGATAGTTGAATCCAGAACTTATTGGTGAATATCTGAATAATTTCTTTTCGACTCTCTTTTCTTGATAATGATGAATCTTTGTAATCAGATTCGTGACAGAAAGATCAAGTTTCTCGGAAGCCTAAAACAAGAAACTGAAGAAGAGCGTTCAGAATGGAAAAAGCTATGTGGTTGTCTCAAGGTTATATATTCTTCCAGTTCAAATGCTTTTCTTTCTTCTCATGAAAACATGTTTATAACATTTTCTAACAGAGGAAATCTTAGAGAGATCGTGTTAGTAGAACAATATGCTGTAAACCGATGTGCACAATCTGTTCCTTTGGCAGTCTGAATACCCAAAATATACCCCACTGCTCGCTAAGATATTGGAAGGTCTGCTTTCTCGATCTGATGCTGAGGACAAAATCAATCACCATGAAAAGGTATAATTAGGAGGAACAAGCAATATAAGAATTTCTTGTTCTTTAGAAATTGCATTAAATGATAGGTGATCTAGAAATGAGCCTGGAAGCTGATTGTCTCTCTTTTCAGGTTATAGATGCAGCAAACGAAGTGATAGACAGTATCGACACGGATGAGTTGGCAAGATTCTTGCCACTCAAACACGATCCAGATGATGAGGATGCTGAGGTGTTTGCAGTCTTTTGTTTACAAAGTTCTTTCACTTTGATCCTGTTTATGTATAGCATTTGACCTCCGAAAGTTTGTCTCAGTGTCTGTGCATTGTATATGGTTTTCAAGATTCGCGAATCTGATTTATACACGATGTTATTTTTCAAATCAGAACTTAAAGAAGAAGATGGAGATGACCCGTGATCAACTAGCAGAGGCATTGTACCAGAAAGGGTTAGCTATGGTGACCATCGAGAATCTGAAGGTAAAGGACACCGATGTATTTCCTCTGTATCGATTATAGTTTCTCTGTTCATTCTCACAAGAATATGTTCTGGTGTTTATGGAGTCATATGATGAAATGTTTTTGGCATCTCATTAACAATATCGATTTGGATACTCAAGGCGGAAAAGGAAGAAGAAGAAGAAAGCGGCGGCCGGAAAGATCTATTCGAAGAGAACTTCAAAGAACTGATGAAATGGGTCGATGTGAAATCGTCCAAGTTCGGTAAACTCAGTGTCCTACGCGAGAAACGGCTGTCACGCCTCGGGATCGCGCTGAAGGTACTTTCTCCCCCTACAAGGAAAGCATATGTAGAATCTCTGATGTGGTAAAAATCATCTGAAGCTAAACATGGTCTCTGGGTGTGTAAATGTTTGATGGGTGGTTTCAGGTGTTGGAGGAAATGATTCAGAGCGAGAATGAGCCTCCGAAGAAGGAACTGTACGAAATGAAGCTGAAGTTGCTGGAGGAGTTGGGTTGGAGCCACTTGGTGGCCTATGAAAAGCAATGGATGCTGGTCCGTTTCCCCACAAGCTCCCCTCTCTTTTAGAAAAAGCTTTTCGTCGAAATATCTCATCAAATTTGTCACGTTTTAGATTAAAAAAAAACAAAAACAAAGGGTCTTGTTGTAGAACGATCCGTGATCTTCTTCATAACACATAATTTTGTGACTTTCTAGGGTTTCTTTTCATGATCTCTTTGAACATGTATGATCCTTAGTGGTTGTTATTGGATCAAAAACCTTATGTTCCAGTCGATTTTTTACGGTTGTTATCTTCCGTTTATGGTGCGATGTTAGAATCATCTACGTGGACTTATGTGCCACAAACATGTCCGGAAACGGACGAATGCACATCATTCTTGTTCTATCGGTTATCTTCCGTACACCCTCGAGATCGGTTAGATTTATTGTGAAATCCAATCCTTACACTCTATACATATATACACCCCCCTAAAATGAGTTGAGAAGATTAAGTCAAAGCATCTAGAGAGAGAAATTTCCATATTAGACCCTCGTGATCAGTCCAAATGGACAGATAACCGCAATTAATGGACGAAAAATGATTAAGTCAAACTCGAATAAGTCAGTCCAACCACTTTTAATTTTTAAATATCTAAAAAAAACGAAATGAAATTTAATTATACAGCGAAAGGGGTTTAGACTTTTCCAAAGGTTTCAGTCATGAACACCAACCACTTCGCGCAATGTTAAAACCACAACTTGCAAAACCACGGGCACAAGACCAAACATTGCAACCATGCTGAATCCGGCGGTTCCTCCTCCTGCTCCATTACTCGGACCCGCACCCGACCCAGCTGCCGTTCTCGCAGCTGCAGCCAAAACCCGCCTCCATCAGCCATCGATCCGATACCCAACGACAAAATGAAATGTAATGCATATCACAGATTCTCATTCAACACCACCAGAACATGATCTACCCTAATAACAATACCAGAAATCACCATCCATCGGCTCAAATCACCGTAGATTTTTCCGAGCCGATGTCGATATCTTCGTGTTTCCGGAGATTTCCAGGTCCTGTAGATGCAGAAGTAGGAACGATACATTCAACGGATCGCATTCACTTTTAAGCTACCACTTTGAATAATCAAAACTCCTTAAGCAAGGAATCCATGAACAAGAGTACAACGATAACGTAGACAACGAGATAAAATAGACATCGAACTATATATTTATATCGTATATTACATGAAATACAATCAAATTGCTTCACTAACACTTGATTAACAACCATAAGAATAATCGGATGAGATAGTTAAGCTCTTCGGCTCTTTATTCCTTACTTGCCAAGGTAGGTATACTCTGCTCGTTCCTGAAGAAATTCTTGGGATCGACCTCTGTTTTTATCTTAACCAGTCGATCGAAATTGTCTCCAAAGTACTTTCTTCCGTACACCTCTCCTTCCTCGAAGCTGTTCTTCCCGTGATCGTTCACTCCGATATCGAGATCTCTGTAATTCAGATACGCGTTTCTCGGGTTCTTGGTCACGAATGCGGTCGTGTAACTGTAAAGCCTCTTGGCTTGTGCCAGGAAGTCCTTCTCTGATTCTGCAGAAGGGTCGTTCCAGTTGACGGAGTACTGAATCTTGAAGAGCTTGTTTCGATGCGGAAATGGCGTTTGCCCCACCGGGATTTCGCTCATTCTCCCACCGTATGGGTTGAAAACTAACCCTACTTTGCCTACATCGATCATCCTCTTGAACAACCAATCCAACCCATCTTTGCTGATCTCAGTCGCGACGTAATCTGATTTCCTTTTGAGGAAACCGGCCGAGTCAAGGTCACGATCAAGAAGCACATTAGGGTTAATGGCAGTGGCATTTACGTGATTATCCCACCAGAGAACGGATTGAATCCAGGACATCTCCGTACAGTTCTCCTTCTTCAGACCCAGTTCAGGAAACTCCTTACTCAACAGAGAAACCACGTTGTCTGCTCTTCCTAGAAACAGAGCAACCACTGAGGCTCTCACCGTTCTCTGCTTCTTCCTCGTCACGGGCTGAATCAGCATTCTCATGAACAGGTTCGGGTCCGTCTTCGGGGCCACGAATTGCCACCGGTGAACCATCTCCGTCGCGCCTTGGCCCATGAACTGCTCGATCCGGAACACCGTCACTGTCTCTGGTACGGGCACGAGCTTGATCTTGTAACCCAACAGGACGCCGAAGCTCGCGCCGCCTCCGCCGCTAATCGCCCAGAACAAATCCTCGCCCATTGTTCTCCGGTCAAGAATCCGACCGTTCACATCCACGATCTTCGCGTCCACGACGTTATCCACCGACAATCCGTACTTCCTCAGCATGTTTCCGTACCCTGCTCCGCTTATGTGTCCGCCGACGCCGACCGTCGGACAAACTCCGGCGGGAAAGCCGTGGACTTGGCTCTTCTCCCAAATTCGGTAATAAACTTCGCCGAGTGTCGCGCCGGAAGAAATCCAGGCGGATTCTTCGGCGATGTCGACGGAGATGTCCCTGAGATTCGACATGTCGAGGATGAAAAAGGGTTGGTCTGAGATGTAGGAGAGTCCCTCGTAGTCGTGTCCGCCGCTGCGGATCTTAAGGAGGAATCCTAGGGTTTTGGAGCAGATTACGGCGGCGGAGACGTGATTCTCGGAGCGAGGAGTGACGATGATGGTGGGTTTCGGAGAAGACGAGGTGTTGAAGCGGGCATTTCGGATGTAGGCGCGAAGAACAGAAGAGTAAGATGGGTTTGTCTGAGAGAAGACATCGTCTGAGATTTCCGATTGTGGGGATTTAGTTTGGTCGGAGAAGCACTTGATGAAGGAATCGTAGACTGAAGAATCGGAAGGAGGAGTTGCAGACGAGGAAAGAGGAAGAGACTCGAGGAAGAGGAGGAAGAAGAAGACAGAGACAAAGGGTAGTTTGGTCATCGCGAAGGAATCTTGGTTTTTGTGCTCTCTCTGCAGTTTTTGGAGCGTATTTATAACTGTAACATAGATAACCTCTTTGGGATTAGTGGTTTTAAATTTAATTAATTTAATAAACAATAATATATTTATTTCCCACTTTGTCCTTTTATTTACTTTACATTTTTTTTTTATATATTTTGTAAAGGAATCGATAATTGTTTTCGATTGAGAGATTTCAGTCAATGGTCGCAGAGCATTCAGAGGTTGATGTCGGAAAAATCCAAATTGAAGAACAGTAACACGAGAACGTGACAATGAAATTAGACTTTGTTTATGCGTTGGCATTCGTATCTATCAAATATTAAACCATATCTCATGTATTTTATTTTTTACATTAATATATAAACCATATTTTTCTACAATCATATATACTACTATATTTAAAAATATAATTATTTCAAAAATAATGATCATTTATTGATATAAGGTAAAAGAAATTAATTACGAGATTAGAATGGGAATTTAAATGGAATGTTTTTTAATGCCGCAACTTTAAAATTAATAAAAGGATGAAATTTAATTTAAAGTATAACGGAAAACTATGATTTTTATACAAGGCGAGAAAGAAGGGATATTTGAAAGCTGTCTCGTTATATATGTAATTACCATTATAGCAAAATGTCGACGCATAATATATGTTTGGTACATGCCACTATGCATCACGACTTGCCTTGCGTAGACTTTGACAAATCTCGACGAATTATAAATGTCAATAACAAAGACTATATGCGTTAATGTCGATATGCATTGATTTCCTACGCTTTCAATTTCACTTTCCGTCTTTGATTTCGCTGATTTCGGGACAATACTTGCCAAGTGTACATAATTAAATGTATTCGGTCCAAAGAAAATGTTTTGAGATTTATTATGTCATCATGTCGTCAGAGGATACGTAATTTTTATTTCTGTGCGTTTTTTTTTTGTTGGGTCAGCGATTTAAGGTGGAATTAGTGCAGAACGTGTTAGTAGAACTTCTTCCATGAGAGGAAAAAAAAACGTGTTGATGTGAGAGGAAAAAAAAATATCTAGAACGCGTTTTGGGAGCCGTTTTGTCTTTGTCGGCGATATGAGCCTTTTGGAACAAAAAAGAAAAATATCATTTCATAAAAAAAAATATATATATCTTCTTTTTTCCCTTAGATATATGTTTTATGTTCTTCATCGTAACCTCCGGTTTTAAAGATATTTTTTTTATTGCCCAAAAGTTTATCTGATTTTTGTTCTAACTATATCTCAAAGAAATCGAAAAAAATCTTACAAATATGATTTTCTAAATGTATATTCGAATTTAGATTTGTAACAAGTTTTGTTTCATCGCTTATCATATGATGTTGGGTTAAGTTTAAATGGACCGGATGATATGTATGTATTCATGGCTATTTTTTTACATAAAAGTGTATTATTATGGGGTGAAAGCAGGAAGAATGCTTTGTTCGTTCATGAAGAAGTTGGAAGGATCGTACTTGGCTTTCACTGCCATCAGTCTCTTGAGATTGCCCATGAAATGCCTCGTCTCATAAACCGTACGTAGCCTCTTCACGATTGTCTGGTCACTCGGATTGCTTCCGACATCGATGTCCCTGTAGTTTAGGAAGGTCTCTCTAGGGTTAGTTGACACGTACTGTTCCGCAACTTTATACAACGCATTCATCAGATTCAGGTTCGTGTATGTGGAGTTGTCGCCGTTCCAACCCGTAAAGTACTGAATCTTGAACAAGTTCCCTTTCCTGTGAGGGAACGGTGACGCATTGTTCATCTTCAACACGGCCTTCAACATCTTCTCAATGCCTTCTTTCGGGATCGGTCTTTTGACGTAATCCATTTGGTTGTAACCCATTTGGATTATATAGATTTATGGATTTGGTCAATCCAATCCATTATAAATATGATGAAAACCAAATGGAATGATCTAAACTACCTGTTAGATAAATAATGATAATAGTATACTATTTGTAAAACTTAATAAATTGATATTATTTATAAAATATTTATTATTGCTATTAATAATGAATATAATATATTTAAACTTGATATTAATATTACACTGTGTGAAACTTAATAAATTGGTATTATTTATAAAATATTTATTTATTATTATTATTATTATTATTAAATTGATATGTCGCTCATATACTACATTTGGTATTACTATTAATATTTAGTGAAACTATATATATATATATTAAAAATATGAATGTATGACGAGGGTCTGATTCAATTAAACGCAAGAAGAAAAGAAAAGAAAAAACAAAATGAGATTTTAAGTTATTTGGATACATCCATTTAATATATGATCCAAATGGTTCAAACCATCCAATTCATTTAAATAAACTAATCCAAATGGTTGACTCATTTGGTTATATTATTGGATTGGGTTAGATAAAACTCCATTTAACCCGACCCAGTTGATATCTCTACCGAATTATAAAATGTTTTTCTTTCCCATAGCACAATGATTTCCAAAACCCTAATTATAATTTATAATATAATCATTTACTTATTAAACTAATTGAAATATGTAAATTATAATAAGATTTCATTATTATGACTGTTCAGTAAGTGCACATGCGGTGTATTTGCGCGTGACCACCCTATGACTAATAACAAAACCCCCTCGAGTATGTTCAGCAATTATCCCACATGCGCGTGTGCATATTCACACGTGTGTCTCTTTTTTTTCAAAAAAAATTGTTAATTACTAATTGATATGGGTTTGGGTCCATTACCCAATTTGTCGGTTTGGCCCAATCATTGATAAAAATCGACCCGATATTCTTCGATTTGGGCTGATGTTAAATAAATTTGAATTTGGAGAAAGAAATATGATAAGCATACTCTGAAACAATCATTGTTTATGAAAATGATTTGACTCGTTGTCGAATTTCATCAGAATATTTGGATAATTAAATTTCGTTGATATGATTAACGCAGTTGCTAATTGCAATACAATTTCATTAGAATTTCTAACACAAATTTTGCATGAATTAGAGGTGTTATAATATAAATAAATTTTATATTAGTGCTAGAAATGCCACAGCAATATCGCGTTGAAATTGTCATTGTAATTTCCACTCAAATCCGACGCAAACACGACTCATCATTTCTAACGCAACATTTGAATAAAAATTGCGTTAAATATACGTTCTAAAGATGTCCCTATATTTATACTATCATCTTCACTCGTTTTAGTCTGGTTTTACCGGTACTTGAATGCACAAATTCTTAACATTTGACACCAAAAGGAAGGTAACATATTAATTTCCCTGATATTACTGATAAAACGCCCAAAACGACGTATTTGGCCACGAGTGAGATCTCCAAATTGCCTTTTTCGTCCGCGAGAATTTGGGAAATAAAAAAATATTTCCCGACCACGATCGAGAGATATTGGACTCGCTGTGCCAGTGTGAAAGGTCGGCCACCTCCGGCGAGCAAAAGAAATGTGTCGGCGCGGCGGAGGACGTCATCGACTTCGCGGTGTCCGTGGTTGGCCGGAAGAACATGGTCCTCCGGACAACGCACAACGCCGCCAACTCCAACCGAAAAGTGGTGATCGGGAATTTAAGCCATATCAACGACGGTACTGTCCTGCTACCGTATGCTTTATTTGTTCATTAACATAGAGTTCATTACAACAAAGAATCGTAGGACAAGTGTGGAATAATCCATGTGGTTGAGGTTGAGTTGGCTCAAATCTAGTCGGTCGCTGTCCAAACTATATCCCCTGGATAAATCCAGTGGCAGTTGACGTTAAACTCAATCCCAAACATTTTGTTCTGAAGTTACTATGATCTATTATATTCTCGCAGTTTTTGTACAGTTTTCGTACATTTTCTAAATTTGGATTCCGAACTTTGATGCACGAATGTTCGAAGTATCGACGGATTTTCTGCGGTGGTCGAGAATCCTTAGCCAGATTCACCTGCAATCGTCCCAATAATTTCAGAAACTTACACTAGATCCAAACATAAGTAAATATAGAATAAAACAATAGACCTAGAAACTTACACTCACGATCATGATACAAAACACCAAACATTGGATTGAAGAGAGCTTGGGAGAAATCCAGTGGCAGATGACATCACCCGGTGACGGCATTATATCAAAAATACCCTTAAAATGCTACTTCTACTTCAACACCTACCCTTGTGACCATGTGATCAATGTGACCGAAATATAGTGTGGTCACATATTGATCTCATTGTTCATAACGTTAAATTTATGATGTTTTAATCAAATGATTAGTAAGATATACAAGGTATGAACATAATGAATTAGTGTGATCACCATAAATTTAACGTTATAATCGATAAAAATCAAAATGTGACCATACTATATTTCGGTCACATTGGTCACATGTGACCAGGCTAGGTCTTGAAGTAAAAGTAGCATTTTAAGGGTATTTTTGATAATGCCCCTTAAGCCCCCAAAAAAAAAAAAAAATTTGCGACCTTATTACGACTAATATATAACTAATATACAACTAAAATAAGAATAGTTTATTAGTCGTAATAAGTTGTATATTAGTTATATATTAGTCGTAATAAGTTCGCAAATTTTTTTTTTTTTTTCGGTGGTGTACACTGAAATTGCTGCGACCGAAGTGGGTTATTTGAGTAATATTCCCCAACCAAACAGGTATTATATCAAAAATACCCTTAAAATGCTACTTCTACTTCAACACCTACCCTTGTGACCATGTGATCAATGTGACCGAAATATAGTGTGGTCACATATTGATCTCATTGTTCATAACGTTAAATTTATGATGTTTTAATCAAATGATTAGTAAGATATACAAGGTATGAACATAATGAATTAGTGTGATCACCATAAATTTAACGTTATAATCGATAAAAATCAAAATGTGACCATACTATATTTCGGTCACATTGGTCACATGTGACCAGGCTAGGTCTTGAAGTAAAAGTAGCATTTTAAGGGTATTTTTGATAATGCCCCCCCGGTGACACCCCTAAAGACAGGAAGGCGCTG